GTGAGGTGCATCTTGGACAAATGGAAAAGTACAAAACATGTTTTTCACTGAAAACTTTTTAGCATATCTGTGGATCGATAGTTTTGATCAGTTCTTACCAGCTTCTTCCAGTTCTGCTTGCTTGCACATTACATTTTCTGTTGACACAGCCACGTTGCATAATACATGTCACGCACTTTGAGTCTTTATTTGGAACAAACAGTGAACTCAAATAACACTTTATTAAAAAACCTTATCAGCATCTCTGCGATTTAGACTGGAATAGGCTGAATTAGGCGGTTTTTGTTTCTTGGGTGCATTTTTAATTTGCTTTTGGTGAGAAATGGAGGCTGGATTAAAATGCACTGAAAACCTTTTCGGTCCCAGGCCAGCAAAACCCTACAGACCCGTAACGTGCAGCATCAAACACAAAAGTCGAAAGAGAAGGAGCAAAATCAGATGCAAATGATGGCTCACATCATGCATTGCACTGTGCAGGAAGAATGATATATTTTTTTTCTATTTGTAGCCTTGTGTTATACAGCTGGCTGATGCTTCAGTAACAGCACTGAGCTGTGGCCGTACTGCAGGGCGTTGACATCATATCCATACATTTCAGCAAAATCTCAGGCTTCAGTTATCCTGTGTGAATGTGCCACATAAAAAACATAGATGAGGGAGTAGTTTATTGATTACACGGGGTCCTCAGATAATGCTTATCCTGCATGAATAGGGCTTTAATGTATTAAAAATAATACATTTAAAGGGGCATTTCTTCAGCATTCATTTCTTATCCCTCGTGCACCCTATCAACGTTTACATTTATTATTTCTTAGAGATAAATTTTATCACAGTCTATCAAATCAGTAAAATAAAAAAAAATCCTCACTAAAATTCCAATTATTTAACTTTAAAACAAGAAAAAAAAATACAACAAAAGATGCTTAAAATCGATTCTGTTGCTGTTTTTATGCCAAAACCAAAAACTCAAACTTCATTTTCTTGGTTTGAAGGTTGTTCTGCTGTCATGAAAATAATGCACTAAATAAAGTGACAAAATCAAAAGTACACTATTTTACACAAGTATTATCTTTGGGGCCAGATGAGTGGTGAATGAGGACCAGATTTGGCCCGCAGGCCTTGAGTTTAACGGTTTAACTTGAATCTTTCTGTTTGGTTTTAGTCCAGCAGGTGGAGTCCTTCCCCCTGTCGCAGAACATCTCCCTGTCCTCAGGAGTCCTGCTAGAGGCCAGGAGCAGTAACTGCTTGGTGCTGTCAGCCGGGGACGAGCTGTGGGTGTACTCGCTGAAAGGAGCCCTGCTCGCTAATTTCAAAGATCACACCAGACCCATCTCTTCAATATGTGTGGTAGGCTGGTTGTTGTTTGACAACTTTCGGAGAAATATCTCCCCATGCCTGGTCTTTGTACCAGTGCACCGCCTCAGTGTTGTGTTTATATTCTTTCTGTTTCCAGGACAGTTTTCGAGTGGTGACAGCATCTCAGGATCTGTCGTTGCGAGTGCTGATGTGGAGGAACGACAGAGACCAAGGTCTGACCCTGGAGAGTCAGTACCACTTACTGGGAGGCTCTCACACCATGTCCAGGTAGAGACTGCTGCATCATGTGAAACTCAATGTAGCATCAGGACCGTTAGGTTTGATTAAGAACCACAGACATCACAAAGATGGAAAAAGTGTCTCCACTTTCTTTGTACTGTTCAGAATATTTAGTTTTATAGGCGATGCCTTGTTTTTGAAGCCAAAGCTACTTTTTAAAACTAAAGTAAAACTGTAAGTTTAATTTTAATTCTTCGTATTCTTTGAAAAGAAATAGTAGAAAATAAACTGTTTTGACAGTAAAACTGTTTAAATGCTGCATGTTAACCATCATCTATGAATGTTTAAAACCCTGATGACATATTTAACAGAGTGACACTTTTGGCTTTCTACTACGAGCATCCTGGTAGCAGTTTTTCTCAAACCAAGTAGAGTACTTGGGTACTCGTCAGTACTGAGTACCTATACTGAGTACTTACTGCATTAAAACTTAAAGTGGGGGTATTATGTGTTTTCCAGGCACATAGTTCAATTTTTTACCACAATCAAGTAACTATACTGCTCAAAAAAGGGAACACTTAAATAACACAATCTAACTCCAAGTACATCAAACTGTCCACGTAGGAAGCAACACTGATTGACAAACATTTTCACAAGCTGTCAGCTCATTCAACTTTGTACAGAACAGAGTATTCAATGAGAATATTTCCTTCATTCAGATCTAGAATGTGCTATTTGAGTGTTCCCTTTGTTTTCTTTTGTGCAGTATATATTACCTACAGTTGATTTGACACATTGAAATTGACATGTCTCTTTAAGAACCTCCTGCTGTTTCTGACACTCCCACTTCTGCATGTCTTTCTCAGACATGCATGAACGAGTAAAAGCTATGCTCTGGGTATGTTTTTGATGAGGGAATGTCATGACATGATATAAAGCTTAAAAAAAGTCAATTTAGCATAATGCCCCTCTTTAAACGATACACAATGACTTTAAAAATACTGTTTTTATTTAGATCAGTGTCTCCTTCCTTTAAGGCCCTCTGACTGGATCAAATCAAATATACAGCATGATATATACTGCTGCAACATTTTAGATAAATAAAAATAAAGTAAGATTTTCTTTCAACTTGTATAAGTTTTTCAAACATGGAACTGACAGATTTCTCACTTGAAATGTAAATTGTAACACACTCAGTGGGGTATCGATCCCAGTATAGATACTGATATTTGTATAGGGACATTTTGTACAAGTACTTGTAAAATAAGGCGGTACCTGGCTCAGTACTCATACCTGGTATAACAGGTAATGATACCAGTATTGGTACCGGGACAGCATCCACATAACTGTTAGTAAAAAGTAAATAAAAGTCATGTGGTCCGACTTTAGTATGAGAGTGGTGATTGCCTGTGACTATAACAAATGTTTTCTTGTCAAATATATTGTTCTCTTTCCTAGAGGGTTCACGCACGTCGCCTGTGACTACTCCAGCATCGTGGCCTCAGTGGAAGGGAATGATGGAAAAGACGTCCTGAAAGCTTATTCCTTCACATCCTGATCGTCGTGGCTCTACAAAAATGCCTTCAAGTAGTTTACATGAACGAACTGCTCATCATAAGATGTTTCTGAAAAAATCATCTACAGATTTTAACAAAGACAATATGGGAATGTGCTATAAAATGAAAAAAAAAAAACTACACTTATCTGTATTAAGATGTATATAATTGTGCTTTCAGGGCAGAGGTTTGTAAATGATGAATGTCACTAGGCTTAAGGCAAAATAAATTATAAGAATTACAAATGACTGTTCTGTATTTGTCACAGTTACATGTCAAAGGTTATTAAGCTTAATTAATAAACATAGCTCAGAGCATAGTAACATTTTTGTTACAAGGCACAGCTGTTGTCCCCATAAAGCCTGGTTGTGTTCATATCACGGTGAACGAAGATCCACCTCTCTGCTCTTCTCCCATGGCCACAGATCTCATGTCTTTAAGGAGACTCCTCAGGACTGAAGGGAGAGAGTCGTAGACTTTCCTCCCATCCTCAGTGTTTGTGGTCATCTGTTAAAACGCAAACGGGACAACTTGGGTAAACAATCACAGTAAATTTCAACTAATTAAGCCAGCTAATGAAGTTCACTGGTTTTCCTTACCCAGGTGAAAGCCTTGACAGTACGATGCAGGAATGCATTTTCAACCTCCTCTGATATTGTCTGCATGTGAGCCATGCAGTCCAGTATGCATGTTAACGTTTCTTTAGGAGCCTGAGAAGAATGAAATGCACTGCAAAATCTGTCCATCTAACCAAGTCTTACAGTCATACATCCAGCCAAAAAGTATTTTAGATCTTGTTTTCAGATTGATGGGCTGAACAAGAGGGAATATGCTAGATTAGTAATCTTGTTAGCCTGATTTTTTTTCCTTATTTTAAGAAGTCTTACAAAGTCTTGCCAAGTGCAGTTGTTTTATTCCACTGGTACATTATTTCACTTAAAACCTTTTAAAACACTTAAAACACTTATTAGCCTTTCTTGATGTTTTTGCTCAAAATACCATGCCGAAATGTAATTGAGTGTATCTCAGCATTTACAAACTCCACTTAAATAATCTTGGTATCAAAATAAAGCTACGATTTGGGAGATTTCATCAGAAGTGTAAGTATTAAAACAGCTGCTGTGGTTTTAGACATATTGAGGAGGGAACATACTTTTTTAAAACATTTTTTCACTCACCTGAATAATTTTTTTCATTCGACGGTATATAACCAAGTTAAAACCATAATGAAGTAGGCTAAAAACTTTTGGAAACCATAAATTCACTTGTGGACATTACCTGTGCAAAGTTTCATGCTGCTAAACTTAAATGGAGCAAAGTTACAGAGGTTTTAGTAAAGAAATAATTTTGCGTCTTGTCATTCTTCACAGGAGAGACCATGTTGGTACCCTTAATAAATGTTAAGAAATATTAAGTTTTTACTGCAAAAATTATTTATTTTTTCTTACCTGCCTTAAAAGACTTGTTATTGAATGTTTGTTATTTTGAAAAATCATCCAAACATTGTTTTGTCACCGTGTGTGTGTGTGTGTGTGTGTGTGTGTGTGTG